ATATATATATATAATTAACACAGTGACATACAACAATACTAACAGAAGGGCGGACTGCACACATAAACACTTTTGCAATTCACGACCAATGTGCCATAATAATATATCCCTATCGACAGTTGACCTTTTATCATCATCGCTATCACTACTGATAATTAACTTAACTTTCTACCACGTATACAGAGTGTTCAGTAAGTCAGATCTTTGTTGGATTATATTATCTCTAGGTGTCCAGCAGGTTGTATTATCTATTTAATATTTCGATCACTTAATAAATATTTATTTATATCGTTGTTAACCTAAAGTGTTATATATATATTGTAGTGCGACCCTTGGTAGTATCTCTAAGGGAATATAAATTAAAAAGGAAACCTCAGTACCTAAGGTAGATATAGCCTAGCCAGCTATACCCCGTTGGTCCCTTAAAATACTGTTGACGGGCATTTAGGTTAAACTCCTAAATAGCGACGTAACAATTGGTGGAGGCGCCGAACTCTCTGTTTATTTTAAACTTTTAGTGAGGGATCCCCCCTAAGTGNGCTCAACCCCTAAATACCGACGTAACAATTGGTGGAGGCGCCGAACTCTCTGTTTATTTTAAACTTTTAGTGAGGGATCCCCCCTAAGTGTACTACAATTTTTATATACCGCTTTTCACGGTTAATTTATAAATTAAATATTTTTTATTTATTATTGGCTCACTTTATTATAATAGTAACAATTGTATGGTTAGGTATAACTATAATTTAAGTCTTTGAGTTACATAATCTTTTATATACATTTATATTCCTCTCTATAATTATTATTTAAAACGCACATTCAATAATCAAACTTGTAAAATTAGCGATAGAGTTTGGAATTTAATAGCTAATAGATAAGTACAATGGGAATAATAATAGGAATAATAGCAGGAATTTCAACAATAATAATAGGAATCTTAATAATAACAGTAGAAATTTCGATAGTAATTATAATAATTTTGGTAACAGCAATGGCAATAATTTTAACAATATCACTAGATATAATAATAAATATCAAAATTACAATAATTCAAATCGAAATACAGACGGTCATTTTTACAATTCTAATAATAATAATATTAATAATGGTAACTACAAAAACAATCGCAATTTTAATAATAATAATTCTTATAATAATAACAGATTTTCTAATAATACAGGTCAAAATTATAACAACAATAATGGTGGGCAAAATCAGGGCCCAGGAGGTCCGTCTACTAATAAGTGGGCCCCTAATCAGCGGCGCCCGCAGTAAACTCAAAAAAACGAATAAGTCAAAATTCGATGGTTGGGCGAATTTTGACACTCCTTCGCGACCTAGCCAAAAAGTTCAATCACTAGCCCCCATTACGAAAGCAGCATTAGCGCAAAATAGTTTAAATATCACAGGTGTCACTAATTGTTCTAACATTTTTTCAAATTGCGCATCGATCCCTCAAATTATAATAATTGGGAAATTAAATTGTATTGAGTCAAAGTTTTTTATTGATACGGGGGCATCAAATAGCATAATAAGTAGCGCTACACTTCCTATGAATCATGATATTATTCCAGCCCAGAACACGACCCTTACTACAGCAAATGAGTCCCCTTTAGATTTATTAGGTACAACTTTAATTGAGTTAAATTTCTGTGAGCACAGTTTTATTATTGAATGCGCGGTTGTTAAAAACTTAAATGGGTATTATCTTTTAATTAATAGTTTTCTACACAAATATAAGGCTAATATTGATATGTACGATTGGAAAATTATTTTATTTGACGGACCTGACAGAGTGACCGTACTCTTCGAAAAATTCAATTCTAGCAATGTCGCAAATCGTATTATTTCACACGAAGATTCAACCAATGTTTTTATTGAGACCACAGCGGCGCGTATGCAGGTTTCGAAAAATATCCCACGAGACGACTTTTGCGGCGTAAATACATTAGTAGAGGTGTTGAAAAATAAAAATATTAATGTCAATTTTCATGATATTCAAATATTACTAGGCGTAGATTCTGCAAGTCAGCCTGTCTGGCTTGAGGCAGAAGATCTAGCAGCCGTCGCATCATATTACAATAAAAATTTAATTGTACTTTCCCAAGATAACAATCGTTCGGACGTAAATGTCATCGCATTCACAGAATTCGATCGAGATAACGTGTTTGTTTTATTTTCCCACTGTCATTGGTATCCATTAGAATACGTAAAAAATTCTAGTGTTAATTTTAATATTAAAACAATTGTGCATATTAATGACAATATTTCAGTTGCCGACAGTCGTAAAATTCTGAACTACAGACAAAAAAATTATGATTTTACCGAACACTTCAAACAAAACG